TTTTCTATGCTCTGAAATAGTTTGAGTAGTACTGGTGTGAATTTTTCTCTGAATGCTTGGTAGATTTCTCCAGGGAAGCCATCTGGGCCAGGGGTTTAGGCTGTAATCTTTATGGGAGTAGATCGCTATTTCTTTCTCCCGTGGAGCCACTCGGTGAGTTTGAACCGCCGACTTGGTTAGCAGCCAAGTGCTTAACTGTTGCGCCACCAGGGCTCCTTTGGATTATTGAGTACATCTCCTACAAACCTAGCACCTAGAAGGTGCTTGATAAGTAGTAGTTGAAGTGAGTATCTTTCCATGTTGTACCTTAAAAAAGCCTGTGGGATTTATGTTTTCCTTCTGTACTATTAAGTGGCCTTTCTGATGCTAACAGAACAAGACACCCTCGAGGGTTTGGCAAAGATTTCATATTGCCTTGTTTCTTATTTTAGTTATGGGACCCTACGTGAGGAAAGTCCTGTGTGATGAGCTGGGGGCCCCAGCCAATTCTGCCATAAACTGTGTTCCCCTGGAAGACTTTGGAGGGCAGCACCCTGACCCAAACCTGACCTACGCCACGACCCTTCTTGAAACCATGAAAGGAGGGGAATACGGATTTGGAGCTGCATTTGATGCTGACGGGGTAAGTAGGAAAGCTCTCTGCCTGCTGACTCTTTTACCATATAATAAGCCAAGCATCAGAAACCAGAAAATTAACGAACACATCTGGTGCTAACATGTAGGGGTCATACCTAACCTAACTGGCTCCACATCTGTTCTTCTGTCTGATTGCTAAATATTGCAGTTAAATACAAATCACTTTTATTTGGCCCAGATTAGCATCATGTTATGAAGAGGTTGTTTCTTTTAAAAAATATTCACGTAGTAAATCTTTGTTTATGGCTGGTTTTCTTGAAAGCCCTGTGTTAAACAACTAGCTATTTCAGCAATAGCCCCTGTTCTCCATTATTTTTGAGGAGAAAGAAGGAATTAGTGATGTGGAGGCCACTGAATGCTAAGGTTGTTGTTAGTTGCTGTTAAGTCAGCTATGACTCACGGTGACCTAATTTATAATAGAAAAAAACATTGCCTGGTCCTGCACCATCTTCATGATGGTTGGAATGTTTGAGTCCATTGTTGCGGCCATTGTGTCAATCCATCTCATGGAGGGTTTCCCTTGTTTTTGCTGACCCTCTACTTTACCAAACATGGTGTCCTTTTCTAGTGATTGGTTTTTCCTGATGATGTGTCCAAAGTAAGTGAGCCAAAGACTGGCCATCCTTGCTTCCAAGGAACATTCCAGTTGTATTTCTTCTATGACTGATTTGTTCGTTCTTCTGGCAGTCCATGGTATAGTCAGCAGGTGGAATCTAGGTCTTGACATATTTCTAGTCCTGTCAGATCCAGGGATTTAACAAAGGGTTTCCCATGTCCTCTTTGGCCTCGTTCAAGTTGCTTTAGGCCGTGTAAACATCGGAAGGCAGTCGAGTGGCTTGTGATGGCTGTGGGAATGGGATGCTACCGAAGACATGTCTGTCTGATCATTTTCTTGCCTTCTGTCCCCCAGGACCGTTATATGATCCTAGGCCAAAACGGCTTCTTTGTGAGCCCTTCCGACTCCCTGGCCATCATTGCTGCCAACCTCTCTTGCATTCCGTATTTCCGTCAGATGGGTGTCCGCGGGTTTGGGAGGAGCATGCCAACCAGCACGGCTCTGGACAGGTAAGCGAGGGTGTTCACCGTGAGAAGCCTCACGGTAGGCCTCTGATGTTGATGTCCCCCTCGTCTGAGGCTGTTGCTTATTCTTCCCTACTCCACTGGGAACTTGTTGAAAGCATGGGAATTCAGAGACAAGGTGTAGTATAGTGGGGAGGAGCATGGGTGCTAGAGTCCGTTGGATTGAACTTGGTTCTTGGTCCTGCCACTTATTAGCTGTGAGAACGCGGGAGACTTATTTGATCTCTGTGCCTCAGTTTTCTTATCTGTAAAATGGAAACAATAATAGTATCATCTTAACATGGATTGTTATGACGTATGAGTGAGATGATTCATGTAAAACATTTAGCAGAGTGTCTGGCACATAGTAAATGTTTAGTAAATAAAACTTACTAAATCTGAAAGTGTATGCAAACGAGGTAGATAAAGCATAGGATTTGTGTTAATATGCTAGCTTTTACCCTCATTGAAATACAGTTGCTGTCGAGTTGACTCCAACTCATGATGACCCCATGTATGTCGGAGTAGGACTGTGCTCCATAGGGTTTTCAATGCCTGGATTTTTAGAAGTAGATTGCAAGTTATTTCTTCTGAAGAACCTCTGGGTGGACTGGAACCACCAACATTTTGGTTAGCAGCTGAGCCTGTTAACCGTTTGCATCACCCAGGGACCCCTTACTCTTATTATCTCTGTAAAAATAGAGACGATGCTTTCTAGGTTTGTTGTGAGAATGATGTGAGGTAGTGCATGGTAAGTGACCAAGAGGAGATTCGCTTAGTAGGGCCTCAAACTGTGTTAGGTTCCTTTCTTCACCCCTACCATCTTTAATCTTGTCTTATAAAACAGTGGATTTCAGAGTCTAATATTTTCAGACAACATATATTATTATAAAAGCAGTACATGTCTGTGGTGGAAAATTAGAAAACACAGACAAACTAAGAAAATTTAAACATCGTCTCCCCCTCCTTGAGTTTCCTATGTTAATAGGTAAATGTATATTCCCTACTGGATCTCTTTCCATACATCTATAATATACATGCTTGCCTTTTTTTTTAATACTGTCTTAGTCATCTAGTGCTGCTATAACAGAAATAACACAAATAGATGGCTTTAACAAAGAGAAGTTTATTCTCTCATAGTCTAATAGGCTAGAAGTCCAAATTCAGGGCATCAGCTCCAGGGAAAGGCTTTCTCTCTCTGTTGGCTCTGGAGGAAGGTCCTTGTCATCAATCTTCCTCTGGACTAGGAGCTTCTCCGCACAGGAACCCTGGGTCCAAAGGACTCGTTCTGCTCCTGGCACTGATTTCTTGGTGGTATGAGGTTGCCCTGTCTGTCTGCTCACTTCTCTCCTTTGTATCTCAAAAGAGATTGGCTCAAGACACAAATCCAATCTTGTAGATTGAGTCCTGCCTTATTAACATAACTGCCACCTATCCCACCTTATAACATCGTAGAGGTAGGATTTACAACATATAGGAAAATCACATCAGATGACAGAATGTTGGACAATCACACAATACTGGGAATCATGGCATAGCCAAATTGATACACATATTTTTGGAGGACATACTTCAATCCATGACAAATGCCAAGAAGAGATCAAAAGGTATATACTGTTTTGTAACCTACTTTTTCTTTTCCATCAACAATCTTCAACTTTCTATTAATAAATTTTTAGCTCATCTACAAGGAAGATCATATTCAAATTTCCCCTGGGCATCCCCAAAATGTCTCTTGTAGATGATTTGCACAAAGTAGTATCCCATCCAAGACCACTCATCTGGTTGTTGTGTCCCTTGAATCTTTTATCATCTGACATGATCCTTTTCTTTTTCTCTTTTACTTAATGACCATGATTTTTGAAGAAACCTGACCAGTTGTCCTGCAGAATGTCCATCTTCTGGATTTTTGTGGTTATCTCCTCATGGTGTTATTCATTCATTCACTCATTCATTTATTTGGTAAAATGTACATACAGTGAAATGCATATACCTTAAGGGTAAAATTTGGTGTTGATAAATGAATATACCACCAACTAGATGAAGACATACAACATTTTCTTCACTCCCAAAAAGTTCTTCATTGCCTCCTTCTAGTCAATTGCAACTCTCTCCCTGTAGGAACTGTTTTCCTGTTATCTGTCCCCATATATTAGTTTTACTTGTTTTTGGCATGTCACATGAATGGAATCATAAACTACATACTTGTTTGTGACTGGCTTTTTTCATTTAATATAACATGTATGTATATGTTTGATTCACCCATGTTGTTGCATGTGTCAGCAGTTCATTTCTTTCTATTACTGTGTTGTTTACCAATGCGTGCACATATCAGTGTTTATCTAATCTCCTGTTGATGGACATTTGAGTTCTTTTCAGTTATTATGAATTATGCTGCTATGAACATTCTCATCCAAGTCTTTTTGTGGACATGTCTTCATTTCTTCTGGAAATAAGTGTTTAGGATTAAAATGCTGGTCATAGTATATGTATATGCTTAATTTTGTAAGAAACCAACAAACTGCTTCCCACTTTACACGATTGTTTGCAGTGTATGAGTTTCAGTTGCTTTATATCTTCATCAACATTTGGTGTTATTAGTCTTTTTTATTTTAGCCATTCTAGTGGATACAAAATATTATTTCATTGTGGTTTAGATTGGCATTATCCTAATAACTAATGATGTGAGGACACTTTTCTTGTGCTTATTGGCCATCTGTATTTCTTCTTTTGTAATGTACCTGTTCATGTCTGTTGCCCATTTTTTAATTGGGTTGTTTGTCTTTTTGCTATTGATTTCTAGCAGTTCATTATATATTCTGAATAGAAGTCCTTTTCTGACATATGTATTGCAAATATTTTCTTTCTGTTTGTTGTTTACCTTTTTATTTTCTTAATGTCTTTTTTTATTTTTAATAGCTTTATTAAAAATTCACCATTTTAAGTGTACAATTCAATGATTTTAGTATACTTACAGTGCTGTGCAAACATCCCCACAATCCAGTGTTAGAACTTTCCCATCATTCCAAACATTACCCTCGTTTCAATTGCAGTTAATCTCCACTCCCAGCCCTAGGTAGCCATTGACCTGCTTCTGTCTCTTTAAAGTTGCCTTTTCTTGAGATTTTATATAAATTTAACCGTGTCTTTTGATGAGGAGACATTCTGTAATTTTGACAAAGTCCAGCTTATTATTTTTTTCTGGTACGGTTAGTTTATACTTTCGGTCCTTTAGTAAAATTTCTTTATCTACCCCAACGTCAGAAAGATTTTTTTACCTATGTTTTTTTCTAGAATCTTTATAGATTCTAAGACATCTTTTATGTTTTTATGCCCTCACTTTTTACATTTAAGTCTATGATTGATTTTGAATTAATGTTTGTGTGTGGTATGAGGTAGGGGTCGAGGTCCACTTCTTTTTCTCCCTATCTAACTGTTCAATACTATTTATTAGAAAGAATTTCATTTCCACTAAATAGCCTTGGTAACTTTGTTAGAAATCAGTTGATCGTATATGTGGGTTTATTTCAGGACTCTATTCTCTTCAATTGATTTATTTGTCTGTCCTCATGCTGGTGCCACACTGTCTTAATTACTGAATGTCTACAGTAAGTCTTGAAATCAGATGAATTCTCCAACTCTTTTTCCTTTTTGTTAAGTTAGAAAAAAAAAAAATGTATTACCTAGGCCCTCCTGCATTTCCATATACATTTTAGGATCAACTCATCAATTTTTACCAAAAACCTGTTGGAATTTTAATTGGGATTGTGCTGAATCTATAGATCAATTTGGGGAGAATTGCATTTTAATAATATTGAGCCTTTAATCCATGGATGTGGTATGTCTATCCTTTTATTTAGATTTTTAAAAAGTTCTCTCACTTATGTTTTGTATTTTTTAGTGTAGAGGTCTCACACAATTAAAAAAATTATTACTGAGCATTTTACATATTTTGATGCTACTGTAAATGGGATAGTTTTATAAATTTCATCTTCTAATTGTTTGCTGCTAGTAATCAGATATACAATTGATTTTTATAAATTAACCTTGTATCTTGTGGCCAAATGGGAGAAGAATCCTATACCTGTTGGATGCCCCTGAAGTGATATTGATATCAAGCCCATGATGAACTGACCTCAGTTGAAAATTATTGCTTGGCAGTACCGAAGAGTAGGGTATATGGTCCCATGGTTCTTTCCACTTGCCTTTACTTATAGCCTTCCACTAAAAAAAATCAGTAAAACTGTAAAGAGCAACGCAAAAATGGGACCATCTCTAGAAATTGGTGACTCAGAATAATATAGAGTCTCAAGTGCTAGGTAGGTTATTTATATTATGGGAGTGTGTTTGACAATAACACCTTCCATTTTAGGAAGAATTTTTGGATATGTGATAGCACTTGGGAAACCCTGGTGGCACAGTAGTTAAGAGCTATGGCTGCTAACCAAAAGGTCAGCAGTTTGAATCCACCAGGTGCTCCTCGGAAACCCTGTGGGGCAGTTCTCTTCTGTCCTATAGGGTCACTGTGAGTTGGAATCCGCTCGATGGCAGTGGGTTTGGTTTGGTTTGACAGCACTTGATCTTTGCAATAATCGAGTGACGCAGTTAGAGTAACGTTGTTAGCTGCCGTTGAGTCAGCCCCGAACTCATGGTAACCCCGTGCACAATGGGACAGAACACTGCCTGGTCCTGTGCCAGCCCCGTGGTCAGCCGTGGATGGGACCGTTGTGATCATACGGCTTTCACTGGCTGATTTGCAGAAGTAGCTCTCCTTTCTTCTGAGTTAGTTTTAGTTTCAAAACTCTGCTGAAACCTGTTCAGCATCATAGCAACACGCACGCCTCCACTGACAGATAGGTGGTGACTGTGCATGAGGTGCATCGGCTGGGGCTCTAACCAGGTCCCCCACCTGGAAGGTGAGAACTCTACCACTGAGACACGAGTGCCTCCAGGATAACATTGCTCTCTCCTTAGGAAAGGTGGTGAACATGTTATCAGCGAAGCGA